AAACAGAACTCACGCATAATAACAGAATAAATGCTGCATTAGAAGTCACAAAAGGCCAAAAAAAAAGGAGAATATTACAGATGACTGAAGAACAGATTGAAGATCATTTATGCTTCTATACACCCCAACAACGTCTCCCTTCCGCACGACATAAAAAGCATCCTTTTCATCCCCCATTTTTTCTCGCTGCTTTTGAACTTCACAATTGCTGCAAAATTTGAAAATTAACATAAACAAACTACGTAAAAACAGCGCCTTGAGATCGCAGGGCTCAATCACTTCCTTAAGACGCTTGAAAAAGTTTCGAAACCCTAAGTAGCTTCAAGATTACAAATGGAGGATTCGGAATAGGGAAATTAACAGCCCAAATTCCTTCAATATTCTAAAACAAAACACTGACAAGATCATGAAACTGAAGACCGAAACAAATTTGGGGTAAAATTTGAAAGAAAATAAATGAAAAGTTGGTGACTTTTACCTCGGATCCTCGGGATTCAGCGCAGCTTCAAGAGTGAAAGTGATGTGCGTAATGCAATGTGAGTGAAGAACATGTAAAGACTGAAAACTGATGCACGTGCTGCATTTCGTGGGCCTCATGGCGGGAAAATTGAGTCTGGACTACTAGCCCATAAAGCTGGACGGCCCAATACTTTTCGGACTCAATTATCACTAGGTCAACACCACCATTTACCTTTAAATTTCATTTTATTTTTATTATTTAAAAAGCTTTCAAGTTTTGTATATTAAAAATATATATATTTGGCAATGTTTTAAATACCGTACCGGTAATCATACTGGACAAGCTACCGATACGCGGTTCAACCGGTAAAACCGTCTATTTTACCGGTTTTAATCAATATTAAATTAATCTATTATTGTAATATAAATAATATATAAAACTAACAATAATAAATACTAAAATTATCTAAAGTCAAATAACAATGTAAATATATTAAATTTAAGTGTAGAACTTTCTATTTATATAAATAAATTAATAAAAATATGTCATAAAAATATTTTTTTTAAAAAATCTGGTATGCCCGGTATTTTGGCCGGTAAAACCTGTATTTTCTGAAATGAAGTCGGTGTATACTGATATTTTGACTAATACGATATTTTGGAGGTAATCATACCGGTTGGATCACTGGTATCGGTAATACCAGCCGATACATACCGGTATTTAAAACACTGATATTTGGTAGAATGAACAAAGTTCAAATTTATTTCAAATGATTATCTGGTAAAATTTAAAAAACTCCATTAAAATTTTTGTTTCATGTGATCTATCAACTAATCATACAAATATTTTTATTATATTAACTAATTTTTGAGTCATTAGTTATCACCTTGAATTATGAGCTTTTATTGTGTTCCTATTTGGATTTGGTGTTGTCTTCTTATTGGTTTAGTCATTAATTATGAGCTTTACACACTAGATGCTTTATACTTTATAGTGTGTAATTATGTGTTGTTTTATTATACCTATTCTTTTTTTAGGAA